ACATTAGATACAAACTCAACAAATTCATGAGACAATAATAGGTTCAAACCATCAAGTTACATACTACTTTAATGAGACAATATAAATAGATATAAAATCAAATATGCAACTATGCAAACAAAAGGTATACAAATAAACATTTGAACAAGTAATGCAATGGCAGGGTGAGAGAATGAATGCAAATGAAGATGACACAAAAAATAATTTAAGGAATACAGAGAGTAAAATAAACAAATGAGCTATTAAGGGATTTTTTATCTATTTCTCTTCTGAATTTGGAGACAGATGTCCCGAAAAAATTTTCTTGTTTTGCTGTGTCCCCGCCAATCCGAAGAAGTCTGGATATCCCACTGTTGTAGGCGTAGTACACGGGCACGTATTTTCTTTTTCCCGAAGAGCGCTAACACTATTACTAAATAATGGCTGATCACATTTTAGCCAAACTTACCAAGGTTGTTTCGACAAATGTTTGGAAGGTTTGAGAGGAAATAATTTCAATTCTTGATAATGCCTGTATAATTTGAAACTAACTTAAAGTTTCATTATTTTATTGTAACATTGGCCTTATGGGTTGCCATTATGGTTACAAAACAATGTCGTACATGTAAACAAACCATCATAGCATAACATGTTTAAAATCAAGCCAATATCCATCCTAAACACAGTAAAAAGGAAAAAAATGGATGATGACCACTGATTAATAGGTACATTACTTTACGGATAAAAAAATCTAAATTTGGTAATAACAAATAATATTTATCTTATATGATTGGTAATTAAAACTACATATAAATCAGCAGTTTTAACTAGGTATTCTCAAATAAATATCTTCGCTTTTCCCTCGCCAAACTTGTCGCCACAAACAACTTTGAAAAATCAGGCATCTATAGAATAATTAACTTTGACGACTGTCCAAGGTACTACATTGGCCAAAATGGATGACATTTTAAACAAAGATTAAAAGAACACATACCTAAAAGATCACCAACAGCAATCCAGTTATGCCAAACATTTAATATCGGAATCGGCCAACTACAACACATCTATTGATAAGAACATGGAAATAGTTTAAGTATTACCAAACGTTTTAAGCTTGATGTTAAAGAAGAGTTCACTATCTACAAAGCTAAAAAACTTACCCATTTAAAATGTTAAATGATCAGACTCCTTTCCAGTCAAATATCATCTTTGATGCATATATTAACATGCTACAAATTAAAGTATAAAATAAGAACAAAACAAACTGAAATGCAGGTGGCAATGGAGAAAAGTATCATGATTCAGTCCAGTGATAAGACAGTGCTGGCCAGCCTTTACAGTTTTGCCCAGTTTTATCACTTTTTATTCCATTTGATCAACATGACTAGTTTTGACTATTGCGATTTTGACAGCACAACGTTCTAAGGAACGAAACTAGTTGTCATACCAGCAACTGCGGCTGCATAAGGTAATTCTTTTATTTTATCAATAGTATATTCCAACCAAGAGTCACAATGAATAACAAATAATATTTATCTTACTTGATTGGGAATTAAAACAACTAGGTCTATATGAATCAGCAGTTTAAAGTAACTAGGTATTCTCAAATCAATATCTTCGCTATTACCATAGTGAAAACTATTTGTGCAATTCTCTCAAAGACGGTAAGTCTTTAAAAGTATTTACATCTGCTAATAATATGGATCCATGCAGGATTATTTCTGCCTAATTTCCAAATCAGGCCAAGATTGAGAAAATATCGATTGGTAAGGTTCAACTAGAACTACTGTTAGTTCACCGTATGACATTACCAAGCAAGAATAGAAAAAATGCCGATACAAAGGATTTATGTAAGTAATGTCCACATCTTTACTTATGAAACCTGTTATGGATGTTGATAGTTCTGAGACAACTGATAAGTTAAATTGATACAATAGTTGTATTATATCTATAAACGTTGTTTTAATTTGTTGATTTATCAAACACCATGAAACGTGAGCGCTTCGCTCAACTGGCTTTCACTGCTATCATCGCAAGCAATCCTAGTTTACATGTTTCTGCAGTTTTCCAAGTAACAAACACTCTGGAAGGATTTTCTCGGCTCCGTCAATTTTGACAACGCAACATACATACAACACTGTGCTGCATGAATACTAGAATTCTAGTAATCGTGCTGTGCTGCAAACTGCATCCCACCTGCAATTTACGGCAAAGAAATTTATCAGCTGCTATTGTTTATATGACGTATTTCCTTTAATTAGTTGTGATCAAGAATACTTGAACAGACACAAAACCGAATTTGTGGCAGCTAGTAACATAATTTGTTTATGATACAAGTATATGTACTAGGGTTGCTTTCAGAGAGGTGAAAGCCAGTTGAGCGGAACAAACGTGATTTGATATTTGTATAAGTAACTAAATGTAAAAAAGTAAATAGATGTACTAATGCTTGTTTTATTGATTAAAATTATAATTCAAATTTGGTTTTACTACATCTTGTTATTCAGATACCTCTTCCAGAAGTGCATTATAGTAGTTTCGACCAGGAAAATTGGTCAACAAACAAACAGCGATTTGTGCTTGTAGCTTTATCTAGACTAGAAAGCGTTCTTCCACTTGTCTAGCTGGTTGAAGCTCGAGATGGACTGACTTTTGTTTCAAATGTATTATACACGAAAAGTCGGATTGAATGTGAGTTCATAGCTTGCTTACGTGGTTAGCATGGGAATTTCAAAATCCTCTCAAATAAAACTATTACATTTTATAGCAAAGATTACTTTTTTCAATCGAAATCATGTAATGCTTACGAATTCAAATTACATACATTTAAATGATCGTCCATACTTATAAGCTTCAAATACCAATTAGTCAATGTATCTTAAAAGCTACCATAAGAATTCAGGAATTCAAGATGAAACATACTGTTTCCAAACCCAGGGGTAATTCTCTTGCAATCACTAACACGCATGACTACATAACACTGACCTCCTGCGCCGATGGAGCTTATGCGTATTTGTAAAATTCAAAATGGAACACTGTGGAGCCTGATATATGGAAACTTTAGGTATTCCAGAAACAAGCCAAGTCTCAGTTACTCCACGAATATCGAAATCACAATCAAATCTGGCATTTTTACAGAACAGAGCGATTGCAAGACATTTGATAACGTTGTCAACTAAATAAAACTGATTCTAAGTTAAATTGACAACTTCAATCGATCTATTAGTTTTTAAGAGTTTTCGTTTTAAAAATAGTATACATCTATATTATTAAAAGAATTTGTAAGAATTTTGTGAGCTTTGTGTGAGATTTTGTAATCGACCCCGAAATATTCATTTTTATAGGAATATTAGGTATAAATTTAAAGCTTTTATCCTCTAAATGTGCCAGTTGTGGGTTAGGGTGATATCCCGTGAGCCCCTCCATCTACTGTAGGCTTTTAAAACTTTCACATTTTGTGCTGATTTCAATTGTCAATCATCTGAACTTTTTCATGTTTACATTTGTTTACATCAAAACAGATGGCCATGAAACCATTTGGCTTACATCCTGAGTAGTCTGCTCAAAATGCTGAGTGCATGCTCAATATGGGGTTATCGTTACAGTTCCAGTTGATGATAAAGGATCCTCCAAACAGGCTTTGCCTTGGAGGCCCTAGATTTTCTCCAGTAGAGTTATTGATCTTATTTGTTTTAATTACAATAGTACCAACAAAACCAAGTAGTGTATTTTATATAATTTTTAGTTATGTTTTATATATTCAGTATGGCATTGTAAATAGATGGACTTTTTTTTTTGTTTGTTAAAATGGAACTAGATATTTATATTTTGTTGTTGTTGTTGATGTAACACTCTGTCAGTGACTATTGTAAGTATTGTTATATTTTTTTGAGAAAATAAAATATTCTTATTCTTCTTATTCTTATTGATGATGTTTTAGTGAATTGAAGTAAACAATTTTAATGTTAATTGTATAAAATATAAAGAAGATAAACTTGTAAATATGTTAAACAAATTGAAAATACATTATATTTGTGTTTTATTATATGGGGCCAAGTCCAGTATTAAAAGTTAAAACCACGGGGTACCGCAGGGTTCGGTGCTTGGACCGCTGCTATTCTTGATCATGATAATGACCTTTGGCTTGGTTCTACATTGCTTTTTGCAGATGACACCACGCTCATATCTAGAGGGGGCGATATTCTACGATTACGGACTGAAGCCCAAGATCTCCTCGAACAGGCCAAAGTGTGGTTCAATATGAACAAAATCAAGCTTAATAACGAGAAAACCAAGTCGATTCTATGTACTCTGAAGACGGACGCAAGGGAGGAAAGTGCTGTTAAGCTATTGGGTTGTTGGATTGACCCGAAGTTAACCTGGAATCACCATATATCTCAGTTATGTGTCAAGTTGTCTATAGGGTGTCATCTTCTCAGGGAGCTCAAATCTGTGTTGACTAAGTCACTTTTGGTAACTGTCTACCACGCGCTCTTTCACAGCCACCTTGTGTATGGGATTGTGGTCTGGGGACATTCAACAGATACTCAGGACCTACTACTTCTTCAGAAGAGGGCAGTTAGGATTGTATCCAGTTCTGGACATTTTGACCACTGTAGGCCTTTACCGGTATTTATTGACTTGAAGATCCTCACCGTCTTCAGTCAGTACATCTACAGCATCTTTTAGGAAAAGAGGGAGCCACCATGACCACGGTACCCGCAGAGCTGGTGATTTGGACACACCCCGATGTCGTCTTGGTATGACACAGCGTATCCTCAGTCAGCCCTAATTCACTAAATACACTAATTAGAATGAAAAACCGAGTGAAAATATCGATTAATCGATTATTCGATATATCGTTTGGTTAGTTAGTAAGGTTAACCTTACCTAACTAACCAAATGAATAGTATATCGAATAGTCGAAAAATTCGATCGATATTTTCATTCGAATGAGTGTAGGACGTAAAGTAAAGAGCGGCCGTAAATTATAAGAAACGTAAGGTAAAATAAATCTAATCTGGAAATTCAATTCTTTATTTGATTTATGACACACCGGCAGTTTTCTTGTAGTCGTTCTTTGCTAGCACGTAGTTGTTCGTTGCTAGCACGTATCCTTAGCAATGTAATTTGCCTTACGTCCATTGGAGGAGATAAATCCTATTATTTCGATCAACTGAAATGTGGCAATTAAATTTGTTATTGTCAACCCACAAAAATGTTGTAAAGTGAATAGTATAAATTGTTTATATTCCATCCAGTATTTCCTTCAAATATGATAATAGTACTTGGTTGCTTGCTGACGAACCCAAGTGCAGCAAACATTAATTAATAAGGTAAAAATAAAAGCAAAGATTCTACACCTATACAGGATCTAACCCATCCATGGTGACCAGCTTGCTGGTAGCTTGAGACGATTGGCATTGCTATTGCTTTAAAGCCTCGGCCACACTTGGCTGTTTAGCAGCCGCTAGGGGCACTAACTAGCCGCTGGTAATATTGCCAGCAAGCAGCCTAGTCTGACCCAGAACTAGCGGCTAGTAAATGCCAGCGGGCCGGTGTGTACTAGCATAGACAAAACGAATTAAATATAGACTGTCAGTCGTGCTGTGGTTACCATGGTTACTATAGGTTCTGGCGCACACCGCTGAGAGCACTGTGTAGTTACGTAGCGCGTACGCCATATCTACATGGCTGACAGTCTATATTTAATTCTTTTAATTAAATAATTAACATTATTTTAATTTAATTCTTTTATTTATTTCATATAGGTAATTTTTCCACTTATATCCACATGGTTCTTAATATTCACCAAAGGAGAGAGATTTTACCCGACGAGGTCACTTAATAACATTCTAAACTACGTCACGTTGAGAAATAGGAAATAGTGTAAAGATGATTTGTAAATCTAATCTTAATTGTTCCAGATTTATGAAATGCAATAATGGGAATTTAACAATCATAAAATAGTTGCGTAATATGAAATATTGCATTTAAAGTTAAGAAATAATGGATAGTTTTAAATGATGTCCGTTTATCATAAAGTTTCTTAATGGTTCTTGTTTTAAAATAAAACTAAATCTTTAGATGAAGAATTCTATTTTATGAACTACAAGTTAGTTTGTTTACAAGTAAGTTAGTAGTGGCAATATACCGGTTTTACCCCACTGAAGACGTTTTAGAGGCTATACGGGGGCATTTTTTCTACAAAAAAATGGAGGATAATTTTTTGGCCACCAAAACCAAAAATCTTGATCTTTACCTAAACATCCCTATACAACTGTCAAACCTTATTTTTTACTTATTCCCCATAAATATATTCGATATCAAGCTAAAAAAGCTATTTCTTACATTTATTGACCCATACAGGTGTAAATGTAAAGTAGTGGCGAACCCAGAAAGAGACGCCACTTCAAATTTTTTTTGGCCCAGAACTTTTAAAATTTTCGGCGAGAAAATGTCCGAAGCCCCAGGAGTTTTTTTTTGCCATTACATAATAATACAGCATAAAAAGTTTAAAAATTTAAAACCATTTACCAGTTTATTTTGTATGTAAATGTGTTATAATATAATTTCAGCAATAGCAATGGTTTCAAGCTATAGGTGTTGCCAGCACGGCACTGTCGGGGGCGTGATGATGTTCAAAGTGATACGCCTCCTATCACTTACACATTGGTCTAGCTTCTAATAAAAATATTTACATCATGAAATTTATATATTAAAATTCTACATGAACTACTGTTTAATACAATATAAATATAATTAATTTGTGCCAGTGTGTAATTAATTATTGAGGAAAATATAAAAAGGTTACTCTGAGTAAACATAAAAAAAGTAAGTAAGCGAGGATTTTTTTTTCGGTCAGAGAAAAACTTTCAGTGGGAAAAGCATAGATGATTAGATGTTCCTCAATTTTTGTTTAAACATTTTTTCATAAGACTTTTAGTTTGTCATCGCTGGGGATCAGAAGCATGCCCGCGGCAGGGAGCGCGCCCGAGTTCGCGTGCAAATCTCAATTGTTTTTCAGAATATACATGTGAATGAATGTGGATTTCAAATAGTAATGGGGTTGTACGATGGTATTGAATATTTATATAGGCTTGTATAGGCCGAGAGCTGGATTTTTTAAAAAAGTGGCCAAAAAAAGCTCACCATTTCCAGACGTGATTTTCAGTATTAAAAAAGTAGAAAATTTATATAGGGATGTATAGGTCGAGAGCTGGGTCTTAAAAAAAATGGCAAAAAAAACTCCTGGGGCTTCGGACATTTTTTTCGCCGAAAATTTTAAAAGTTCTTGGCCAAAAAAATTTTGAAGTGGTGTCTCTTTCTGGGTTTGCCACTACTTTACATTTACACCTGTATGGATCAATAAATGTAAGAAATAGCTTTTTTAGCTTGATATCGAATATATTTATGGGGAATAAGTAAAAAGTAAGGTTTAACAGTTGTATAGGGATGTTTAGGCAAAGATCAAGATTTTTGGTTTTGGTGGCCAAAAAATGATCCTCCATTTTTCTCGTTCAAAAAATGCCCCCGTATAGCCTCTAAAACGTCTTCAGTGGGGTAAAACCGGTATATTGCCACTACTTAAGTTTGTTTACAAAAACAATATAATAATAATTAACAACCATATAACCTTATAGTCATATTTCATCTCCCTTCTTCACTTATAAGTCAAGTCTTTTGGGAGGATTTACTCTTCGTGATGACTTTCTACTATCTACGTCTTTAACGCCATTTCCAGCTTTACTTCCGTTTTCTTTACTTGCTCCTGCTAGTTCTTCAACGTCATAACATCGTTTCTTTAGAAACCAAGAGTTCCTTCGATAAATATTCCCATCTGGAGTTTCTATAAGGTATGATCTTGGCTCCGGTCCTTTTCTTAAGACTGTAGCTGGCTGTCAGTCTCTGTGTTCTTTTCTATACAGTACTTTTTCTCCTTCTTCAAATTCTAAGTTGTTCTTTTTGTCCTGTTACTGTATTGTCTGAATTTTTCCCGAATATTTTGCAATTCATTGTGAACATTTTGAATTATTTTAGGTTGCAGAATTTTATCCGTGCTAGGGAGCAGTGTCCTTGTTCTGCGCCCCATTAATCTTTGAGCTGGAGATCCAAGATTTTTCCGGGGTATATTTCTTTGATGTAGATAAACATCCGTTTTTTCTTCTAGACATTTCTTTAGAATGAGTTTTGCCTCTTGAACATACCGTTCGGCTAATCCATTTGATCTTGCAAACAAAGGACTTGAAACCCTTTTATTGAATTGCCACTCTTTTTCAAAATTTTTGATCTCAAATGAGTTGAACTGAGTACCTCCATCTGCTAATAACGTTTCAGGAATTCCATGTACTGAAAACAACTTTTTGAGTTCAATAATAACATTTGAAGATGTTGTAGATTTTAACTCAACAATGTCATAAAAACCAGATTAGGAATCCGCAATAACAAGATAATCTTTACTGGATAGGTGACAAATGTCAGTTCCTATTTCCATCCAAGGCCTAGTTGGTACTTCTTTCTGTAATAATTTTTCCTCGTTATTATCTTTCTGGAGCTTTGAGCATATTTTGTAGTTCAAAACATAATTTTTGATTTCGTTCGTCATGTTAGGCCAGAACACGTATTCTCGAGCAAAATTTAGTGAGTCTTGTATTCCTTTGTGTCCTAGGTGGATCTGTTTTAGTGTAAGTGGACGAAGATGCATGGGAAGTAATATTTTTCCCCTTTAAAAATTATATTTTCGTGAACAGCTAGTTCATCCCGATAATTCCAATGTGTAGCTCTTCTGGCAATTCAGATTTTTCTTCAGATAATAATTAACAACCATATGACTTTATAGTCATATGTCAATAGCCTTTCAAAAGTACTTCGCTTTAACATTAGTCTGGAACCAAACTTAAATGTGTAATAAAAAATAAAAAAACACTATGGTATTCAAGAATCATTAGCTTAATTTGAGCATTTAAATAAAAAGCAAATAATCTGAGAGAGTACTATACCTATATGCCGCTACATTACATACATCACTTATATAATTGTTGATTTATATTTATACTTCGTTCACAATATTAATGCGGTTTTAGGGGAAGAAATTTATCCCCTTCACTCGACCCATACCTTTAAAACAATAGCTCAACAGCTTAAAATACAAAACAAATGGTTGGGGAACTTCCCCTCAAACCATCTAAATACTGTGAACAAAGTATAGTTAAGTTGTTTCGCAAACACAAAATAATATTGATCCACATAATATTCTTTTTAAAGTTTTTGTAAGGTTTTAACATTACATCATTTGATAATTAATTACTGTTAGAGCTTGAAGAATAGGAGCTCAATATTAAGTGTTAATATTTTCAAAATAATATTTTTGATTTTTCAAACGTACCTTTGAGTTTTTTTCGTGGTACAAAGCAGGATACTGCGACGGCTTTCCAAGATGTGGACAGAGCTTCTCTGTTACATCATCGCCAACGTCTTTCACTTTCGCTACGAGCAGAACGGTCCGGACACACATAGCTTTGAACCTGTCTCTTAGCCAAATCTGGTAAACACATAATAATAACCATTTTTAATACCATGTTAAATTAACTTTTATAGCAAAACATTTGGTCGTGATAATATTATATTTTAGATAAATGTAATGATAGGTTGCAACAACTGAGTAACCCCAACTTACCAAACGTTCAGCCTAAGCGGGTTTCCATTGCTGGATTGAATTTCAATCAAATAAAATAACATGTTATAACACCATTTAGTTTATTATGTAGTTTGGATGAATACAAACAAACGACAGTGGGACATCATAACCAATATTTTTTTATTCATACAACGTCTTTAGCCACTATAAAAACGACTCTTCCCTTAAGGATGATCAGTTTTAACATTTGAGATTTCAACAAATGTGCTGTGGTTAAATGTTTAAGGCTATACTTTTGATTACAATTTTCTGAAAGGCTTTATAAGTGTGTTTCTATATTTATTAAAGAACCGATCAGTTGTTTTGTTTCGTAACCCGTCATTAGTTTGAGCTACACCTTAATCGTATATATACCTACTATTAATATTCTAAGCATTTATAAATTAACTAGCACCTATACTCGTGCCTTTTAACGGAGTCAGTATGCAATAGAAGCAATTTTGCTGGTTTGAAATTCCTTTGAAATGGAAAAGTTGAACTGTATTACTTAACTTGGTAACGTTACTTTAATACTAATAACGTTATTCTTGTTTACATTTCAACTTTGTGGGTTTGTTCTTTGTTATCGTAAAGACCAACCAATATTTACTTCTTTTAAAACTCTCGCCTCAGAACTTTGAAATTCCACGTGGCAGAGTCCTAGGTCAATATTGAAGTGGGAATAGTTCTATATGACTCAAAAACCATCTTCTGAGCTGTGGGTTCAGTAGTTTTAGAGTTTAGCTCATACACACACACACACGCACACACACACAGACAAACAACAGACAGACTCTTCTTTATAGATAGAATACTCACCATGGTATCTTCTTTTCTCTTCTCCAGGCAGTTCTGGCCGCTCTCTGTCACACAGTCCGGCTCGTAGTCGAGAAACAAAGTGAAAATACTTCTGCCTTTGTACTGGTTATGCCTGGCGTCATATGAAGCCTAAAACCCCAAATATCTCAAATAATCTCAAGTAATCATGTTAATAAAACTTTGGTTTACGAAGAGTTCTATGTATACAATTCAGTCTGCGTAATATTTTATTAACTACGATCCCTGAAGTGTTATAACGTGGAGTCTAAGACATTCATTGGGGTAATCTAATTTATCTTATATTGCATATGTTTTTAATTATATGGTTATATTTCTTATCGATGAACAAATATAAAAACGCCCTTGCCACAGCAATCCTGCAGACTGTTCATTTGCCTCATATGATTTTCACTAAAAATGTAAAAATATTAGTTTAACGAGTAAATAGTGTGGTGTCCGGACAGTTGCGGACACGGACAATTGGGGACACGTCTTAAAAGCAGACAATTGCTGACACTAAGGATTAATGCTAACTGACAAGGGTTTGACAGGTCTCTACAAATATTTCACTGCCGAACAACTGCGGACACATGTTCTGGAAAGAGTCTGATTTCCACCTAAAGAACAGAAACATACATGATATATGGGATATGAACCTTAGGTTAGGTTAGTGTGTAAATTGTGGTGGAAATCAGTATTAAAATCATATATCATGTATGTATCTGTTCTTTAGGTGGAAATCAGACTCTTTCCAGAACATGTGTGCGCAGTTGTCCGGTAGTGAAATATTTGTAGAGACCTGTCAAACCCTTGTCAGGTAGCATTAATCCCTAGCGTCCGCAATTGTCCACTTTTAAGACGTGTCCATGATTGTCCGTGTCCGCAATTGTCTGGTACTCAATAGGGCAACACAGCAGCATATATAAATACGGATACAGATGTAAAGACAAGGAATGCAAAAACAAGATTTTTGTGAAATTTATTAAATAAAAATCAATGTTCAGAACTTTATCAGAATAAGTTTATATATACGAGCAAACTACGTGTATATACGAAAATTCTAAATTTAGGTTAACAGGGTTTTTGTATTTTCCCCCCACAAAGCGTATAAAAATGCTCCAATATACTAAATAATTAGTTTTTAATCGTTTACAAATATTTTTTTACAAATATTTCATTGAGTTACGTACCAACAGATTTGCGCTGATCTAAATTACTAATGTTTGTCGAGTAAAAGGACATCTTTACCAAGTAAAAATGGTGGAATGCCTTGTGTGAGCTATAGGAACTATTAAGGCCCATCAAATGTGCCAGCAACAAAATATAAGGTAGAAAATAGAATTGTAGACACTAGCAAATTATTTTACTTACGACTACGACAGCTACAATTTACAGTTAATAATTGTTTACAACAGCTGACTTACTCTCTAGGGGCTAATAAGGTTTTTCACTCCCTAGGGAGTAAAAAAAAATATTTTATTAGTTAACAAAACTACATGATGAGGCAGTGAGAGCACCCCGATTTTCTTTCGTTGTCACATAATAAGTAAAGCAACAATGATTGAACAGCTTCGTTTATAACATCAATCAAACTATTCAATTTTAGTAAACATTGTGCCTGAGGCTTGTAACACTGAGATTTTGATGAAGAAGAGGAGCCTATTTTTATACAGTGATTCTTGTTCAAACACCCAGAGATTGTTTGGACCACATTTCATACTTCGTCAATATGGCTCTGTTCCAGATTGGAAATCAATAGGAAACTGGATAAAATTATTTAGGTTAACAGTTTAAACCATAAAAATAAACTGTGGGTGCCACAAAACTCTTTGTACACCAGCAAATGTTGAAAGAGTTGAAAATAGAAATGTAAATAGAATTTTGTGCTCGTATATATACTTTCTGGTTAGATTATACTTTCTGTTATTAGTTTTATCTAATATTAGTAAATTGACCAGAGTTATCCTGCAAAGCAGTATGTACTGAGGAAAACTTGCTAAATAAAGGTATTTTTGATTTGATTTGAGTGTGAATCACAGTAACTCAAAGTCCAAAGGTTTGCCAGAATGTTTTCGTTGTTGAAAGCTTGACGTTGGCTCTTTGCTTTCTTTGGGGGTTCTCCCTATAAACAATTTGAAATTTAAGGGTTTTTAAAGTTACCCTAGATATTTTCTTGAATTTCCAAGAAACTAAAGTGATTCCTGAAGAAATGTTGGAAGGAGTATTCAATAGCATTTTCAAGTGACTGAAAAGAAATGTAAAGTAAGGACGTCACTCAAAGGATTTTGTTTTCAAGAAATGGAAAAATGACTTTGTTGAGTTAAAACTGCTAAAAACAAGCTGTGTTTTGATGTGCTATTTAAATGTATTGGGTAAATGGTATTGAATTTGTACTATTTATTAATTGGGGCGCTTTCATTGCCTCACCCTGTATTATATACTTAGTTTGTCAGATAAATAAACATAGTTTACTTGTTGAAAAATCATATACACAGTGTACATACTTGCAGGTTATTAAACATAGTTTATTAGATGGGCAAACCATTACTTGGCCAGGTGTTATTAAAACTATTTTATTAGTTGAGAAACTTATTATATAGAATGTAAGCAGGTTATTAAGCCCATTATGGTACTTTGGATGGGTATTATATACTTACTTTGTCGGTAACGTCAACGACTTTGTGCTGTAAAACAATTTCCAATCATTATTTGAGCCAATTACGTGACAGTAATAGTTTAACTTAAATCTAAAACTATACAAAATTTAAAGTGGAGGATAAACAAAAAACTGTTGTTTTTACGCATAATGGGCAAAACCGTTAGCTCTATTGGAGAATGAGCATACATGAGGAAATAGGGGGAAGAGTGACTCCCTACCCCCCTAAACGAGGGTCTGGGCCCCAGCGAGCCAAAGGTGAGTATAAGGTTCGAGGCAGTGACGTAATTTGTTTATGTTTATAGTTCATGCCGTTTCTATTATATTATCCGTGATCAACCGTTACAATAATTCCATCCGCTGTTTCCAGAGTACTGCATTTAAGTCAACTGCTGATCTTAGGTTTTCCTGTGTCAATTAATTCTTCCATAAGGTTCAAAATTACACTTTGGGACCCCTAATACAACACCATAATTATTTTTTAACGCCAATGGTCTTTATTACCTTGCAAAATTTGAAAATGATTGCTCAGCCGTCTAGAAGGAGTTTGCGTATGACGAAATGCTCACTCCCCTTAATAGAATGGAACGTAACCAGTATTTGTGTTGTCCATTAGGCTGGAATGCAGGCCTGCGAAGTTTCTTTTGCTTATTAAGTAAGGCCAGGTGCAGGGTAATAACCCCTTTTCTTGGAGAACATTTTATTTAAACGTCAAGGGAAGGATTGATAACGAATAGCTGTTAACCGGAAAATTTCATGTTTCAATCTACGTAAAACTAAGGAATATGCCATAGCATCTTTGTTCAGCTTAAATATGCGTTTAAAATTATGAAACTAAATTTTGATCCAATTAGTTTACTAGAAAGCTCTAACATATCACTATTTACAGTGGACAAAAACCAAAACTCACCTTATCTTCCAAGTCAAACCAAAGATAATTCTTAGATCCTATTTTTTCTTTGTTTTTTAAATCATCCGAAAGCACTCCTTTGGGAACAATTAAGTAAACACCATTTTCAACACCATTTTTTGCGAACTCCTTTGCAGCTAGAACCTAAAAAATCAAAAAATTGCTTTACTTAGATAATTAGGCTACAATGTCTGGACTTCCGGTTTTAATTTATAAAAACAAATATAATATATATTATACTATCTGTAACCCGCGGGCTTTGCCCCGTTTAACTTCTTAATTTTCAAGATGATCTCGTTCGCATGGCTCAATCACGTCCTGGTTGACAACAATTTTGAATGGTAATTTATTCAGAACGATGAATAAAAAAGTATACTAAAAATAAAAATATAATATCTATTCTATATATTACTTATTTAATACGCAAGCAGGATTTTTGTGACAATTACTCCTCCGAAACTACTGAACCGATTGACATGTTTTTGGTGTAATTGGAAAGAGCGTAACGTGAAGTTGTGCAGGAAACTTTCTTTTTAGGTTAATAATTAGAGAGTGAGGCCCTGGGCCTTAAAAGTTTCATATTTCGCCATAAGATTAACATGGGAAACAAATTTTTTTATAAAACTCCATCTGTTGTCAGAAATTAAAAGTGAGAAGAAGAGCATATGTTGATGTTAAATAGTCAATAAGTTTGCTAATTTAACAGTTTGCCACAAACATTTACTAACTTGGTTGAAATGAAATATTTACAATTTGAATTTTGGTTGGCGTAAATATTACAATGGGAAAAAGCGGGAGACCCTGGATAGTTTGATATACTAAAAAAACTGAATTAACACTGTGTTAATCATTGAAAGAGCCGATTTGCATACTATTGAAACATAGGAAAGTCATAGAACACCACAAAGGAGAAGAAATAGAAATAATGTTTTTCTTATTATAATCGTTAATATGGACAACCTAATCCGGCTATGAGTAAGGCTATTTGTAGAAAACACAAAAAAAAACAAGACCAGCTTTTGAAAAATTATAAGATATTTACAAGAAATGTTGATTATATCGATCTGTCATGTACATCTTGAGTATTTCCATAATATTTGAGTCGAATCTTTTAAAGTCATCAGAAATTATGACTGCTATTCGTTTTAAAATAACGCCTGTAATACTTAGCAATTGTTTGATTTCGAGTAACCGGTACACTAGTTAGTTTTACTTAATTGCTAGTGGATAAGCAATGTTTTTCTGTTTTTTCATTATGCATATAAACATATAAGTTTTCAGGCATACTTACCACCACATGAGCACGCAACATACAGCTGTCCGTGTGAAAAGCATACATTTTCTGCATTTAAACCGACGATAGTCAGGGATTACTCTAGTGTCTTATAATGATGATTGTGAAAGCAAGACACAAAGAAAATTGTAGTTTCTTAAATTCAGAGGGTAATTCGGACGAAATCATCAATATTCTTGGGATTAAGACTATTTCTCCTTTAAACTTACCACTGATAATTTTTGCTTCAATCAATTTTGGTGTAATTTTTTTAAATCGTCAGTCTAGTAACGTTGCACAGCTTCGGTGGATTATTGAAGTTCCATATTAGTATTATCAGAGTTCCTTCTTTTAATGACAGTAATGTGGTGGGTTAGTGACAAATTGAGAGGCATTTGAATACCCGAGATAGCACGCACGATTATTATTCCCTTAATAATTTATGTTAGGTTGTGTTGGTATAGTACAAAAGATAAAAATATTAAGGCATTGCCATCCCTTTTATTGTTTATTGTACTTTGATAAAGGTTTTTATGTTTACATATTTAAAATTGGAGAATTTAAAATATGTTGTTGAGTGCACAGGTGTGCTGCGATTGGGGTTTAATATACTTGGACTTATTCAAAAGTGAAATAGTTTTCTGTGCTGCACTCTGTAGCAACATTGTGGCACTATTTCAAATTATGAGTAATACAGAATATTGTGATTATTAAAACCTACAAAATAGTTGGTTAAAGTAAACATCTGCTTTACTTGTTATTTGTTGTTATTAGTTGTTATTTGTAAACATTGTAGTTCAAAAAATCTGACATTGGCCCACTTAAACCCCTCTGGGGCGGAGCCCTTTTGATGGATCTGCACCAAACTTCACTCAAACCATCCTTGAAAGATGCTTAATAATGCCTGAAAGTTTCATTACAATCTGTCGAGTGGTTTTGGAGTCCGTAACGTATATACATATATACACACATACATACATACATAGTTCCTCTTTTATAGATTTAGATATGAACTAAATGAAACTTCCAACCCTTAGGCAGTCAGAAATATTCTTAGCAACCTAGGATGGTAGATGCGGCGACTTTCACTACATACTGAAAAGGTGACGAGTAATATTTCTTTGCATTTTCGACTACATTAAAACGCTCATTGGAGCCCTTCTGAATCCAACACAAATATATATAGTTAATACGCCAACACGAAATTTGTCCTTTGAACATTTCGACCATTTAAGTCTCATTGGAAAGAACGTGTCGCGTAGATTTGCAAACTGACAGTGGCTTTTAAGGTTCCCATGTTATCCTTATTAAGAACATATTTGTTTACGTTAAGATCAGCTGGATAATTTAACACGTTCGCTGCGGCACGTCAAATAGCGGGCGTATCCCCAGTGCGGCGCAGCCCTCAGCGTCGAGTAAACCCGATTGCCGCGTGTGATTGGCCTTTTCAATTTTGGTCTGACGAATAGCAAATAACGTGAGGGGATGTCCTGCTTTACAACGAGAGTCGATGTAGTTCGCTAAACACCCACAGATAGCAGCACTGCTTGGAACGTAGCCGGTCCCATTGGAATTGTATTGCCAAATGGAGGGAAAAAGACGGGAAAAAAAGAAGACTTTTGAGATTGCCAGACGGGGATTTTACGGGGAAATTTACTACCAACCTACACCACAACAAAATGCAAGTCACATACTACACGCTAACGTCGTATAGGTCCGCTTTCGGCCGACGCTGGAGCAAAAACGAAGATATACAAAAGGCATTACCGAGCGTTCCCGATGGGGTACGGACGCACCGTACGGGGGCCAAGCACCGTACCCGATCGGGAACGGCCGCACTCTACGTGTTAATTGTTGTTAATATTTATTTTTGCAAATCAAAATAGAAAAGCATAGTAGTTATTTGTAGTAAATCTTATTCTCTTTCAGAATATCACATCCACTTTGGTCGATTTCCGCTCCATTTAAAAGTTACTGGCAATAAGCTAAGTGGACCTCCAAATTTATAGTGGTGAAAATACTGAATTTTGTTTAACTTTGTATAACAAAATCTAGACTTCTGCCAGGCCGATTTAGAATGAAAATGAAATGACATACGTAGAATTGACTATGTGTAACGCTATAATCATGATACGTTCATTTATTCGGTTAAGAGGATGAGAGATTATTTAAATTTACATAGTAAAATACTAGATGTGTTAATAAGTTTTTTTGTGCAGTCTTTAAAATATTTAGTTTGTTTTAGTGCAATATAATTTGTAATAACTAACAGCTGGTTGAATAAAAAGGTATTCTATAGGACATTGAGGTTAGTTTATATTATAATTTACTCTGTGATTTTGTCATTGATTATAGGAAATAAGTAAGATTCTATAACCATTGCTGTATATGAGTCGAAGCTCACGAATCTTCAAAAGAAATCTGATGAAAATTATTTTACTACTTGACATTTTGAAGAAAGGTTGGAAAAATAACAATGATCACATGTTTTAATTCATCTTGGCAGCTTTGTATTTACCATAAATAACTGTGACAATCTATGATACTCAACAAAAAGTACAAAAAGTGGCAAATTATTGGTGCTATACAGTTGGGCTTTCAGTATATCTACCAATACTGTAAGCCAATAATTGTAAAGGACCCTTTACAGTAGGGCGAATCTGATTTAGGTTTGGCAATCCTAAATGCAGTCAACTTTAAAAGAAAATATCCAAGGATTGCATTGCTTGATTGAATTAGGTGCAACGTGTTAAAATTGTTTTTTTTATTTTTTTTTCAACAAATTTGAAATTACCCGTAGAAATACAAAACATGTGCTTTTGGTTTGGAGAAATGTGAGTATTTTTATAAGTTCTTTTAGTTGTGAAATGTCTTTTACAAGTTTATAAGTTCACTTGCCTAAAGATGCTTTACCTATAATTCAAAACTGTAGTTCCGTCACACACTAAAATAAACTATAAATACTTGAAAAATTATTGGCTCCATAAAATAATCACAACAATTTTGTTTTGAATCTGCAGTGACATTATTTCTTTTTCCACAAACTTTAAATTATCCGTAGAAAGCCTGGATGGTTTGAACCGATATTAAAATTTTTAGGTACCAATTTAGAAAGAGCATCTAACACTCAATTTAAATAAAAGAAATAGTTCAAATATTCCAAACTTTTAAAACTATAAGTCAATTACTTACCTTGAATTTTCCGTCATCACCTTTTAACGCATCGTTGTTGAAGAAGAAAACAGCAAGTTCTTTGCCTTCGTTATCGTTACGCCTAGATAGATAGGCTGACTGAAACACAATTGTAAAAATGTTCATCATTACATTTTAAATTAATCTTCAACAAAAGAACTGAATGAATTTTGAAAGTAGAGAACTGTGTGTGTTCCATGCGATATTTTGTAAGTAGTACTGTACCATGGAACGATCCTTGCTCGGTAGCAGATAATTGGGTTTAACAGTTATACATAATGAAACCCGTATTTTGTTGCAAACCATGAACTTTTATTCTTTTTTAGTAGGTAAATAATAATATGGCTAATAATAATAGCCCTGCAATGTCAAAATAAAATACCCCCGCCGCAGCAAACCTGCCGACTAAGCGAATTTCCATTTGTCTGAATTGATTTTCAATTAAATATATTTTAATAACATTAGGTTTAACGAGTACCTAGGTTTGCTGCTACAAGCAAACTAATAAAGTGTGTTTTTGAGTAAAATATTGATAGCTTAGTACAAAATAAATAAATTTGCCAAGTTTGATCAAAATATATCCATAAACAAGCAAACTACAACATTTGACAGTATTCTCCATAAGAATAACATGGGAATTTTAAATTTACAATTTTTTTTAATTTTCTCCGTTACTAATAATCGAACAAAAATACTTTTATATACTAAATTATTTGTTTTTTTAAGCTCTTTAAAAAGGTCTAAAGAGAAATCGGGAAATTTTGTGTTTTGAGGGTCAAAAGTGAGAAAAACCAATTTTTACCCCATAAAACCCCCCGTAAAGCCCCGTTCCCATGGTCCGATCGTGCTGGTTCGCGAACTCATTCAAGTTTATCCCGCTTTACACCTTAAAACCAAATTTCATCAAAATCGGACAAAAATTACTCAAGTTATCGCGTTCACGGACGTATATATATATATACGTCTATATATATATATATATATATATATATATATACGTCTATATATATATATATATACACATATATAAAAATTTCAACGAATGGTGTTTTTGGCCTCTGGGGACATCAAAATGAAAAAGTAAATCGGTCCCGGGTCTAGGTCTTACCGTGCCACCTACGGTAATAGCTACTTCCCTATAGGGAAATTCGCTAAAATACCCCCGCCGCAGCAAACATGCCGACTAAGCGAATTTTCAGTTGCCTGAATTGATTTGCAATTAAATGTATTTAATTAACATTAGGTTTTATGATTACATAGGCTAGCATTGTATAGAATTATAATTAGTATACTGTATACGATTTGATACTCACTTCTGATTCCACTCTTTTCACTTCAATCTGAAAAATATAAATTAAATAATTATTAGATATAATATTAGTAGAATTATCAAATTGTAATAATACAAAATCGTTTAGCCCTCCAACAGTTCCGAATACACGAAAACTTGAGAAAATGGTTGAATTATTGATTTAAATTCAATGTTATGGATAATTTGCCATACTTATTATGATATTAATGCAATAGTATTCCAAGTAATATATACTAGCTGTTACATGTCGGGTTCGCCCGACATACCTTTGAGTTTTAATATAAACCAGTTGAAGCTGTGGCTTCACTATGGACCAACATGACCTTTTACATAATATTTTTGCATAGCAACAGTTATTAAGGATTAAATCGAATCCATTCTTATATAGCCCAATCACCCAAGCTAATTTTAAATATGCGACTACTGAAGTCAAACTAAGGAAAAACTCCTTCTTTTGAAAAATAACTGACTTTCTACCAAAAGCTTCGAATAACTCTCTCTGGAACACAATCGTAATGTTGTTTTACCAAGTTAATATTCCCCTTCTATATCATTTCACTGTTATTAACCCAAATTCATTTATTTATTAATTCATTTCATTTATTCATTTAATTCTATGCGGTAAACACCATTTTACAAACAATACATTAATTTATTAATTGCATACATGAAACAAACTAGCAAGCAGACATTAACAAAGGTAATTCTAAGGTAACTTATATCTATGAAAAGCAAAACATTGAGTGGTAATATAAATAATCAAGAAAAGAGAAAAGAGTCCAACTAGAAAAAAACCCAACAAGCAAAAGGTAACAAGAATAAACTATTTAAATACAACAACTTAATAATGGCAGTGTAAATAACAAAGTCAACGAACAGTGATCATGACAATAACCAAACAAGAACAACAAAAGACAACAACACTTACATGGCAATAACAAAAGTAAGAATCTAAAACAATATAATAGGAACTTATAGATATTGAAAAACAGAAAATAAAATATGTGAATCAACAACCAACAAGAAATAACAACCAATAAAAAAAAAAAGCAAAAGTGGTGTGATGACATAATTTACAAGTTAAGATGCTGGGGAAATACAACAATAACTATCCAGCACAATTTTAGTTGTATTACTGAACATATACTTTTTAGCGAATTTCCCTATAGGGAAGTAGCTATTACCGTAGGTGGCACGGTAAGACCTAGACCCGGGACCGATTTACTTTTTCATTTTGATGTCCCCAGAGGCCAAAAACACTATTCGTTCAAATTTGTATATATGTATAATATATATATACGTCCGTGAACGCGATAACTTGAGTAATTTTTGTCCGATTTTGATGAAATTTGGTTTTAAGGTGTAAAGCGGGATAAACTTGAATGAGTTCGCGAACCAGCACGATCGGACCATGGGAACGGGGCTTTACGGGGGGTTTTATGGGGTAAAAATTGGTTTTTCTCACTTTTGACCCTCAAAACACAAAATTTCCCAATTCCTCTTTAGACCTTTTTAAAGAGCTTAAAAAAACAAATAATTTAGTATATAACAGTATTTTTGTTCGATTATTAGTAACGGAGAAAATTAAAAAAAATTGTAAATTTAAAATTCCCATGTTATTCTTATGGAGAATATTGTCAAATGTTGTAGTTTGCTTGTTTATGAATATATTTTGATCAAACTTGGCAAATTTATTTATTTTGTACTAAGCTATCAATATTTTACTCAAAAACACACTTTATTAGTTTCCTTGTAGCAGCAAACCTAGGTAGGTACTCATTAAACCTAATGTTATTAAAATATATTTAATTGAAAATCAATTCAGACAAATGGAAATTCGCTTAGTCGGCAGGTTTGCTGCGGCGGGGGTATTTTTACTTTCTTTGTGGCTCATTAATCAAAATGCACCACCAAAATGGAAACATTCACATATCACCCCCACTATTAGCACAACAGCGACCCTTCGTTTGAAGCGGCTGTACCAGAGAAGAAGTCGATCAGCGCACCAATCTGGCTTCCGGTTCGCTAATTTAGCAAATTTACCAATAATACAGTTTCGTTTTCTCTGAACCACGTTTGCTTTAACTTTATTAGTTCACTTTATTAGTTTTTAACGACAACTATCACAAGTTTACTTTAGGTTGGGTAATTTGGGTAATGTTAACAGCCAGAACTAAAAGTAAAGGTGTAGAATACAAAATTTGCAACGTTTTATGAAGCTAGGGGTTTTATTGGGTCCAACTGCTGTACCCGTGCTTTGCAACGGGGAAAACAATACGAAATAGTAGTGCTAAAATCTGTTGGTAAACCTTGTAGTAAATTGTTATCCTATTGAAAATCATAGAACCCGACTTTGGTTTATTTGAAACAGCTCTAAATAATAATATGTTTTCTTTTTAAATATAAATACCCATAAGGTAAAAATGGGGAACTCTAGAGCCACTGGGATGGAACTCCAAGGGGTGGACAGAAGCATTTTTTTGCGTGTATAGAACAACTTCCCAAAGTTTCATTACAATCGGATGGCCAGTTTAGTAACGTATAAAGTTCAAACCATATGACGGGCAAATGACAAACATACATTGAATTGTAAGACACATGCGGCTGTATATTAAATTAGAATTTTTTATTAACAAAATGATAAACAATATTTTTACATTAAGCCAAAGCAAGACATTAGCTATTATGATGCATTACGATTTACACTTATGATGTAAAACATTATGTGCGCAATTTAGGCATGCAGTTTATTAATTTAGCGCAGTAGAAAGTAGGACCATAAATAAAGTTGGAATAGGAATGAAGATTAAAGATTCTAAATATTTGACTCACCGTCCAAGATTCCACCGTCTGCCTTTGGTTGTCTGCGTCAAATACGAATACTGGTGCCTGAAACAGTATTTAGATAATTTTAAAACACGATTAACAATGAAATAATAACACAAAATATAATATCCATATCACATTTAGATTTCAGTTGGATTAAACTATTTAAATGAATTATTATTATACACACTAATATTATGTCCATCTTTACAATACTATAGATTACAATTAATTGTTTATTGTTGTATTTAATGCTGTGATGCCTAGCTATAGATCTTTATCTCATGGGTGAAAATACTAAATTTTTCACCATGAGGATTGTAATTTAAAGAATTAATTTCTTAAGGTAAAAGAACATATTAATATTACATTTTGAAGAAGTTAGATATGTATAGTTGATTTGTTGTGTGATCATAAAACATTTTCTGCTCGGTCAGATATAATAGATTCCGAAAACCTTAGGACTAATTTTAATGTTTAAATAATTGTCACAGTTCCATTTTAGGGCGCACCATATTAAAAGTATTTTAATAATATGTTTTGTTTGTTAATCAAACTAGTCATAACAACTTACAGTATTGAATTGAACAGTTTCCTCCTGTAAGCAAGAAAACACATAATCATTATTTAATTTAATGTCTTACACCAGTCTAAAATATTGTAAGTTGGCAGAAAAAGTCCAACCTAGAAATAATGAATAAAAATATGAAAGAAACTAACTAAACAACTCTCTTGCTGATTCCTTGATGTATTTATAATAAACATTTACAGCAAATAAAAACCAATTTTATCCTCTACGCTTGGCTCTAGATACAAGGTCAATCCAAACCGTTTAATTAAAATTAAATAGCTCTCAAAAACCTTTACTCGGTAATTAATCAAATTCAGTTTTAACTATCGTTACTAGACCAACAGGTAAAACTCTTAACAAATGAACTAAACATCTTATTTCCGTAGGACTAATTTTATTACAAGTCAAGTTTCTTCAGCTTCTGTGTTTCTGTTACTTATGTTCTGTGGGATCTTCGAAGTTGTATTGATAGGCTGAACTGAACGCTGGTGATCAGCTTTGACTGGCTAGAAATCGACAAAGCTCACTTTTTTCGTGAACCTCCTCGGAGTTGGCTCTATAGGTTCTGTAGCCGGTTGAGGCGAAGATATAATTGGTGACTTGACTGTCATGGTTTTTACTGGAGATGGTTGCCTAGGCCTATTAATTATGGATTCTTCTGTCATTCAACTGGCTGCGTCAGAAGTGATCCACGTGACAAAAAACACTGACTAACGTTTATTTAAATTTTATGTGACCGCATAACGTTTCTAAAAAAAAGAAAAAACTATCAGGGACCCATCATTTTTTTTTCTAGTCGCTCTGTTATGTACGGTAACTGACCTGAACATACTACAATGACTTTTGCAATGGCGTAGAATTATTCTAAGTTTCTTTCCTCTTTTTAATATTTAATCGGCTGACGAGACTCCAGTTACTGTTCATGGTGTATTCTTATATACGTACATGAAATTATCAAGTTTGTGCTGCAGTAACACAGCCATAGATCCTACCACCAGAAAGGACTTGACGCTTGCAATCCTTTTCAACTCTTTCACGCATATTTTCTCAGCTCCACTCGAGGCAGGTGGAGACGATGTAAATTTACGCCCTCATTTTTGAGGATCTCTTCAAACACGGCGCATGTGATATTAGGGACGGCGACACTCACTAATTCCTGCTGTAGTCCAACAGATGCAAACAGTGGACGTGAACTTTATATGTTTTTGGCCAATGTTGTCTACTTGTCTACTTTACGAAAAATATTTCGAGCCACGTAGAAAAAACTGTCAACTACTATTGACAAATTGTAGCCTAGGTTTGCCGCACCTCAGAATTATCAGTATGATTATTTACTCTTGTTACAACGCAATATAACAATCAGCAAAGACAATCCCAGAACCATCAAGAATATATTTTAGTATTATTCCTGACACCTGTGAATCCTCGCTACTGTAACAGTATTTGTGATTAATTTTCTCGATATAACATCTGTGATAAATATTCTTTAATTAAACTTTCAGATCTTACGCCAAAATAAAAGGAAGTCGTCACTCTCCGCTAGCGGGTCTCTACCTTCTCTACCCAACGTAAACTCCAACATTCACTGCACAATTGATTGCACCACGACACCGCAGAACTGATTAACCGGGTCAAAGGTCACTAGCTCGCTTTGTGCCACCACTTGCCTACCTCAACAATCGGCACGCGGCCAAACGTCGAAAATTTACCCCACTAAAAAAATAACCCCTTACAGAGTGTGGTAAGCTAAAGAAGTTCAGTGCTATTAGCTGATAAATCATTGTTGAGGGGGTTTTTTTTAATTATTTATACATTCTAAACGTGCAAAATGTTTATGTTCTTTATCTGGGATAGCTTTAATTTGCTAATTTGGCATTTATCAATTCGTTGTAAAGAACTTTGTTACTTCCTTCTTGGTAGATTATAATTTAAGCCCTTTCCTACTAAGCTGATTGATAAAAATAAGATTTAATATTATCTCCTAGGATTAAAATTACTCATTAGCTCCATCGACCCTCTTGCCATCTTTACATACCAACTTTTACATCAACCGAACTAACTTGTTGAATATTTGACGCGGGACTGAAGATGAACGTTGGTAGTAGCATAGAATAAATAAACACTTCATCTATGGTAGTAGGGACGTGACGTAGTCTTCCAATACCATGCACCCACCAGCTAAATTATTCTCTTTCCGCTGCCTTGGTGTATTTATCATAATATATTACATCAGGGAAAGGTACTTTGCTTAAAACAATTAATTTAAACACAGGGTATAATATATCATATCCTTGAACTGTAAGCGTGGTTTATAACAAGATAATATATTTATACAATATTATAAAGTGGATTAAAAAATCTATGCTAAAACTATTAAACCGACGCCTTACCACTGCAGCTGCCTCCCATGCTAGAAATACCTGAAACAGTCGCATACTTGAGTGGCCACCGTAAAATTTAACTGACATGTGAAAAATAACATCAAAAATTGTATTTTTTTTTTAAATGTTAGAAATTTATTTTAATCAGTTTACTACCTAAATTTTACCGCGATTAACTAAGGTATGTGGCAGTGGAAGGAAATATGAGGTTTTGCGTATTAGTTTCCTAGGATTGATACCGTCTGTAATACACAGGGGTGTTCACGTAAGGTGTTTTAAATAGGTTTCAGACAAACCGTTGGTCTACAATGATGAAATAAAACTAGGTTGCGTTCGCGGATGCATCCACAAAATTGAGCGGAGTCATCAAGGGTTCATATTATATTGTTTTTGTCATACTGCAGAGGAAAAACAGTCGTCATTGATGCTTGCGTTGCGGGTCTAAAGTAACATTTATACTCTTTAAGGAATAAAATTCGTGTTTAGCCTCTATGGAGTCCTGAGTTTGACTGTTGTCAACTTAGTTGTAAATTTCTATTGTACACGATTGAATACGTATCGAAATATGTAACGATTCGTGCTTCATAATCATTTTAACCAGTCTCTTCGCATAGAAATTTAGCAATGCAGATACATTAATCCATTCCCACACTCAACACTGCCCACCTTTACTACTTCCTTCACCACCCCCTACGTCGTGGACCTGTTTCCCTCTCTTCCCATAGCATTTTAGGATTGCAGATACATTTAATGTAATTGCCAAAGACAGTTCCCACACTCTGCACTGCAAGCCTTACTACTTCCTTCACCAACTCCTACGTCGCAGACCTGTTTTCTTCCCTTCCAATAGCATTTTAGGATTGCAGATACCTAAATCTAATCGTCATAAACAGTTTCCACACTCCGGACAGCTCACCTTGACTACTTCCTTCACCCCTTCCTACGTCGCGGACCCGTTTTCCTCCCTTCCCATAGAATTTTAGGAATGCAGATACCTTAATATAACCGTCATAAACAGTTTCCACACTCTGGACAGCTCGCCTTGACTACTTCCTTCACCCCTTTCTACGTCGCGGACCCGTTTTCCTCCCTTCCCATAGAATTTTAGGAATGCAGATACCTTAATCTAATCGTCTTAAAGAGTTTCCACACTCCAGACTGCTCACCTTTACTACTTCCTTCACCACTTCCTACGTCACGGACCTGAAGCTAGTATCGTCATTTGATTATATTTATGATCCATACCACCGTTTATGTTCTAATATCTGTGGAATAATTCTATCAGCTATTTATTTATCTACTGCATTCAAAAGTCAACAGCTGATCATATGTCTTTGTTTATGTGTCAAATACTGCTTCCATAAGGATTACATTGAAACTTTGAGACCCAGTGGGGCGGATTCCTGAGAGACTTTTTTAACGCCATATAGATGTTGGCACTCACCGGTATGGTCTTTATCACCATGCAAAATTTGAAAACGATTGATTCAGCCGTCTAGGAGGAGTTTGCGTATTACGTAATGCATAAAAGTCGACGTATAAGAGCTTCGCTTGCTTCGCTCGCTCCGCTCAATTATTTACGCCACATTACACTGTTTTAACTAACTACCTATGCAAGCACTCAGTCTAGGAAACATCTGTTTGCCGCCAGCTTAATCAAATGGGGTTTCATTACGTAATTACGTACTGTAATGAATTTTTACCGGACACCAACCAGCTGATTGTATTAAATTTGGAAATGAGTGGTTATAAACAAAAACATAACTTCTTGTTATGAGTAGTGATTGTAAGTCCTTTAGTCGGTGGGAATACATAAGGATTCTTACAGATTTTGTTATAGTCAAGTTAGCTTAGTGTAGGCCTAGTATGGCGTAAAATATCGTACGCCACTCGTCCTAAATGTGTTTACCGGACTCGTATAGTAATCCCTCGTATAGTGGGAACGACCACACTCGTCCGGTATACACTTATTTTCAGGACTAGTAACATAATATACTATTTTGCTGTATTAAAAAAAACATTAAAAACTTTGAGGGGTCGATTTAGTTGGAAATAGTGTTATTTCATCATTGTAGGACCAAAGGTTTGAAATTGATTTGAGACACCTTACGTAAACGGGTCTTAGTGCTCCTCCAGTAACTAATATTTTTACTGCAGGTCTAGAAGCTCTAAATTTAAAAACAGTACAGTTAGTTGTCCCAGACTTGTCAAATGGGCTGATTTTGTTTCATTTTTAGATTAATAATCAAAGATCCCAAATGACTTTTACTTGATACAAATCAATTACTACCATAGTTTATTTTCAAAAAGTCTACGATTTTCCTTAATACACAGCCAAGTTTTTTTTGTGAGTGGCACCAACAGTAGCTTTATAAACGTCTGTCTGACTAATCTGATTATCCGATTGTGAATTTTCTGTTTATTATTCCCTGGGAATGAGAAACCCAAGTTATATGAAGACACACAAAAATGTCCAATGGACTTAAGATCTTAACAAAATACGCCATTACGACCTATCCAAGTTGTGTATAAGTTGTGTTGTCTAGCATAGGTATCAAATGGGTTAATCTCGCACATCGTTTGAATGCATCGTAGAACCAACACCATCAACGATATTTATTTTCTTATAAAAATAAAATTAAAAACAATAATTTAAAGTTTTTATTAAGAACATAAGTTTATATAGATAAAAATCTTGATAGTTTCTTAATATTCTTGTGAGGAACTTCACAAGGATTCCAAACATTACAATAAACCCCATTTAAACACAATTTTTAATGCGTATATTGCCATATATTTTCATCAAATACATTTTATTTAAAGAAAATGCAACTTTAGTCCTTCGGTGGTTTTCAAGAGAAAGTCTTAGATATAAGAACGAAATATCAAAGAAGCTGTAGTTTTTATACATTATTTTTAAGATTATTAATTGGGGAAGTTTTAGAACGATTTGACACTCTCTATAGTCCAGAGTAGCATAGAAACCCTACGGGAAAATTAATGACGTATTAAAAAAAATAACATATTCAAACTTCCATTGCAGAATAAGGGCTTATAAAGATGTTTGATCTCAATGACTCTGTGCTATAAATATTGAAAATATAACGAGGATCTAAAAATGACAAGGACGTCGAAATTAAAGCAATCTTAAGTGCACTTATGGGCATTTTATCCATGCGAATACAAATAGTTTGAAAAAATCTAATTTTATCGGTTACTAACCTGTGAGGGCATGGAAACGTAAATTGAAGCCATTTTGTCACTAATACCATAGATAAAACATACTCCCTTAGTAGATTTCTCATCCTAATGGAACAGCTGAAGACAATTTTATTGTTAGTTATGTACCCTACGGTTTATGTAGAGGTCGTGTTTTGTTTACATTTTGTTTCCCGTTAATACAGTCATTTAAAACCTCGTTTAACCAAATAATACGATCTAATCATAAACAATAAATTGTCCCCTAGTTATTTAACCAAACAGTAAAGCACAAATCAAGAAATTAACCCTAAAATAATAGGAACAAAATTTCGTCGACACTAGCGCCCAGTGTGGCGTACATGAACTAGACATGAAAAACGAGCTGCAAAATTTACAATGGGATGAGAAGTCTACTTGTGTTGGTTAGTTTATGCTAATACGATAGATAAAACATACTCATTCTAATACTTAGTAGTTTAGCACATAACAATATTTTACACTAACTTCGATCCACCCTGTTTAATGACTAAGCTTATCAACAGAGAAGTGGTATAAATGTTAGCTAAGAGATAGTCAAACTTACCACCACGCACATCACGAACACATGATGAAAGGTCTTCATGTTGAAGTCAGTGGAACTGGAATCAACTGCGCGCGAATTTATACCAGTTGGAATGAATATTTCAAGGTCACCTGCAATTTATTGGTTACCTGACATTAGTCATGTATCGATCGATCAACTAACAGATGTTAACAACTCATACCATCGACAGTCCAAGCATATGAGGAAAAAAGATAATGTATTCAGGAAAAAATTCCCGAAGTTTTTTTCTCAGTGGTTTCTCACGTATTTTTGGCGCTGAATCTGATTTTAAACTTTGCCACCTCCCCGGAGGTGAGCTAACTTCGGAAATCGCAACGAACAGATAAAATACTGTACTTATTTACTTTTTTGCGTATAATTTACAAACGGAGTATGTTTTTCAATTACTGTCATATACTAAATTAAAGTACGCTAAATTTCCTACAATATACGTATAATAACTTTATTTCTACGATGTTCTAAACTGACGTTAGGGTGCTCTCAAAATTCATCATTTTCGTTTACCTATTGGAAAACATAGGAAACACCATTACAAAACCTTGGATTAGACACCCAACAAACTCTATTTGATGAATATTGATTATTTTATAATTATATGTTACCATTAGGTCACATTTAGTGTTAAAACAATGTAAGTGAAGTTCATTGTCGGTAACCATAGCAAAAAAAAATAACAAAACAGTTTTCAATTTAAATACGTTTGAAAACTATTATTATAAATCAATGGATCGATTAAAAATATAGTTTAATATGCTGGGGCTTTTCCCCATATATGTACATTATATAGATAGTATCGTTATAAATGTACACACTATATACAGAAAATAGACTGAGATGTTGACCGAAATGCTGTAGACGAGCTTCTATTTACAGTACTGTATTAAATTAACATGTACAACTATGACTTTTATGTTCCTATTTTCACCTCACTTGCTGTCTTTATTTTCTTGAATGTCTAGTGTCTTTACTTTACCTTGCTGGAATAGTGCGGATGTCAAGTCATAAGACAGTTATACGAAATAATGACCTCTATACCTATCTTCACCGGTTTTCCAATCCCAATTCAACACCAAACGAAATTACCGAGGCAGGGGAGAGATGCTTGGTGGCCTTGTATGGTGGTAACCATATCGCTACCAAGCTGAATAAACTGCGATTCAAGAGTTGTATTACATCAGTTTATCAGATGAATGGTAATATAGTATAACAGTGGCTAGGAAAGAAGTTGTCACCCGAGGACTAGGGCTGGAGAAAGACTGCAAACTCATTTGTTCCTATTACTACCTTACGGAGCACAGTCCCAGATGCTCTCTTGAAGCTGGTAGCATGCTCATGCAAGAAGGGCTGTAGCCTGTTTCACATCCACCCGGCTGTCGGGTGGCGGGTGTCGTTAAACCGGCAATGTGGTGAAGAAGTATGGCCTGTTTCACATCTACCCGGCTGCCGGGTGCCGGGTGTCGTTTAACCGGCAATGGGATGAAGAAGTATATGGCACCGTTCACATATGCACGGCAAGTGTCGTGACCGGTTAATCACTTGCCCGGCTGCCGGGTACTAGTCGAGGGATGCCGGGTGCCCCCTCGGCGAAGGCCGGCTGCCGGTGCCGGGTAAACAAGCCGGCTACTACAGTGGGTATAGCGGTCAAATGTGACTGTTCACATACAACCGGCACCTGCCGTCTGTCGGATGCACCAAGATTACTTTTAGTTCAGTTCTTTGTAGTTAATGTGTATTAATTTTGGATTTTGGGTATTTGTTCGCAAAATTTTGGTCATGTCCATGAATAGACCATGAACTACTTATTAATTTAGTTCAAGAGCAGAATTATTTGAATCAAATAGAATTTTTACTCAATTTATTTTTTGATTTTATTTTATTAGGCTACATAACATTGAATTAAATTTTACTCAAATTCAAACTGAATCAAATAAAAAAATCAAATATAAATACAATTGCAATAAAGTTATTTCAAAGTACCCAACATTACAATTGCTCTATTACGTTCTATTTCCATCCCTACGACACACAAGTTTCACAAGCTGGAGTACAACTGCCGGAGTGCCGGTGTCGGTGTAATGTGAAAGGTGCACTCGTGCCGGTGCTGGCTAGAAGTCGGATTAACGGCATGCCGGGTAGAAGCCGGGTAGATGTGAAACGAGCCTATATGGGACCTTTCACATATACACGGCATTTGTCGTGGTTGATTAATCACTTCCCCGGCTGCCGGGTACTAGTCCAGGGTTGCACCGGCCGGCTGCCGGTGTCGGGCATATGAGCCGGCTGGAGCAGTGGGTGTAGTAGCACAATGTGACTGTTCACATACAACCGGCACCTGTCGTCTGCACCACGTGTACATTTTATTTCAGTTGTTTGTAGTTTTGTGCATTAATTTTGGTTATTTGTTCGCAAAGTATGTTGAAAAAAAAAAACTTAAATCCAACTACTGACTAGTATAAGTTTTGTTCATGAACAGAATTGAATTGAAATAAATTTTTTTCCAATTTGTTTTTATGATGTAAATTGTAATTAAATTTTATTCAATTCAAATTAAATAAAGATTAATGCAATATAAATCAAGTTTCAAATTAAATTAATCTCAAATCAAAGTACGTTCCATTTCTATCCCTACGACATACAAGTTTCATAAGCTGGAGTACAAATGCCGGAGTACCGGTGTCGGCATAATGTGAAAGGTGCACCTGTGCCGGTACCGGTTAAGAAGTCGGGTTAACGGCATGCCGGGTGGATGTGAAACGAACCTAGGGTAACTGCGGTTGCCAACGAGTAGGACTCTTTTGCTTCTCCTTCGTCACGTTCCAATACAGTGAAATGAAACCCCAATGGACTGAGGCTGTTTTAGGACTTCGTCCTCTTCAGCTCAAAACTATGTGGGAAATGTGAGGGGAACTGCTTCAACTCCGAACCAACCATCGTAGATGATGAAGTAGAAGACGTTCCCTTGGATGAGGACAACAACCCTGGTCCTTCTACAGAACATCCACTCAAACCGCAGTCCGAGGACCCCCAGCCTGGCCCGTCAGTCAAGAAAATAAAGACCGCAAGTGAGGTAAAAATAGCAACATAAAAGTTATAGTTGTACATGTTAATTTAATGCTCGTCTACAGCATTTCGGTCAACATCCCAGTCTATTTTCTGTATATTGTGTATATTTATAACGACTATCTATATAATGTACATATATGGGAAAAATGGTATCTATACTGCAGCCCCAGCATATTAAACAAATTTTAAATCGATACATGATTGATTTATAATAATAATGTTTAAACGTATTTAAATTGAAAACTGTTTTGTTATTTTTTCGCCATGTTTACCGACTATAAACTTCACTTACATTGTTTTACCACTAAATGTGACCTAATGGTACCATATAATTAGAAAATAATCAATATTCATCAAATAGAGTTCGTTGGGTGTCTAATCCAAGGTTTTGTAATGGTGTTTCCTACGTTTTCCAATAGGTAAACGAAAATGATGAATTTTGAGAGCACCCTAACGTCAGTTTGGAACATCGTAGAAATAAAGTTATTGTAAGTATATTGTAGGAAATTTAGAGTACTTTAATTTAGTATATGACAGTTATTGCAAAAAATACTCCGTTTGTGAGTTATACGCAAAAAAGTAAAACAAGTACAGTATTTTATTTGTTTTTTGCGATTTCCGAAGTTAGCTCACCTCTGGCGAGGTGGCAAAGTTTGAAATCGGATTCAGTGCCAAAAACTACATGAGAAACCACTGAGAAAAAAACTTCGGGAATTTTTTTCCGGGAAAATCCTTATATGACTGTACTTTAAGTTGAATTATAACTTTTATACATTTAGAAAAAAGTTGACACGTAGATCACAGGCCTAAACCAATCTTAACATCATAAAAACCCTGAAACTATATAAACCTACTAAATTGGAATTCGTTTTAAATAGTCTATGCACAGTTATATTACATGATTGACGTATATTTTGATTATTAACTTTAGGGCAAACGAAAAATTCAGAATATTCACTTTTAATATAGGTTGTGAATGTGACGGAAATTATTTGAAATGTTGTGCAGTGATTTGAAATGAACAAACACACGTTAAACACTTGCAAAAAATTAATTAACTAAAATTAATTTCACTTTGGATATGAATTCTCTTACAGATTCTGAACTAGGCATTTTAGTAATAATTTTCCTCCATATCCATCAATGATTTCAGTCCATACTTATCAAGTTCATAATAAAGCTCGCCCTAACTCATATTCAATATGTATTTTTAACTTATAAGAAGTGCGAGCTTGATAAGAAATTTCTTCATTTTCTTTTAATGATTTCAGCGATTTGGGAATGTAAATTGGAAATCTAACGATGTATTGGGTTATGACAATTCTTTAGGCCCTTGGGTTTAGCAGTGGTATCTTAGATTTTGTAACTTTTAAAGAATAACCTTTTTCAACCCTGCCAAAAGCAATTATATTTGTTGTGGTTGCATTGGTTTGGGAAAACACAAAACCTCAAAGTAATGTGCAGTATTATGAATTGTTAGTTTTACCTTTACATTCTTAGTATAGGTATATTTTTAAAAACTATCGGTATATATTTAGTTGAATATTATACTTAAGAAATTCATACATTAGCATCCATTATTTGGCAAATAATGCATTCGTATCATGGACCTTCTAACTTAATAGTAGTTATAGTCATAGTCATTATATCCAGCAGAAAATTCTCACTTAGTCTAGTGATAGGTTTGTAAAAAACAACAAGTATATTTAACAAAAAAGGTGATACTATTTGGACTTTAAAGCGAAAGGTTTGCAATAACGAAAATTACAAACTAATGTATAGACTAATTTTCGTCATAATAAACTATGATGTTTATGAGAAGTCGTGCACTATCATTTCTGTTACTCAAACATCTGAGCACTTGAAAAACAGGCAAATTTTTTTTTCATTCCAACATTATTGAGTCGATAAGCAATTATCCACCAATGTAATGACGCATTGAACAGTTGTTGCAAATTACGACTGGTTTTCGCTAGAATATGTACCTTGTAGGTACGAACATTTCG